GGCAGTTGCAGATGCAAGACTGAAAGCTAAGAGAGAGGTTGGGCTGGACAAGTTGGTCTGAGAGACATCGACATAGAGATAATAACTGAAACTGTGGGAGCTGATGAGATCCCCAAATGAAACAGTACAGAGGGAAAAAAAGGAGCTAGGACAGAGTCTTGGGGGATCCTCACAGGGCAACAAATGTAGGAAGATCCAGCAAAGGAGATTGATCAGGAGCAGAACCAAAAGAGCTGTGTGTCATGAGACCCTAGAAAGTATCAAGGAAAAGAGGGAGAATGATAGTGTCAAAGGCTACATGGCGAGGTCAAGAAGGATAATGATTGAGAAAAGGCTGTTAGATTTGTTAAGAATAAGAGATCACTGGCAACTTTGGAAAGAAGAATTTCAGTTGAGTGATGAGGTCCATTGTCAGGCTGCTAATAGTCAAGAACTGATGGAGAGGAGGCATCAATTGTAGATGACCTTCTCAAGAAATTTGGCCACTAAAGGGAGGAGAGATATAGAATGATAGCAGGAATCAGGTTTTTTGAGGATAAGGGAGACACAGGCACTTTTGTGGTCTCTAGTGGAAGCAGCCAATAGACAGAGAGCAACTGAACATTAGTTTTCTCTACTGGAGAAGACAGCTTTCACTACAAAAGTATGGCTTTCCCTCCTACAAGCTTTTCTTATGCCTAGAATACTGTCCCCATCACATGGTCAAATGAAACCCTCTCTGTCCCATTGGGTTCAATTCCAATGTCATCACTACAATAAACTCTGCCTGTGACCCAACTTCACACCCAAACCCTCACTTCACAAAGTGGTCAATTTGGTTACACTTCTCTGGTGCATCTATCATTAATTAGAGCATATCATATTTTTCTGCCCATAGCTATCACCCCCCTTCAAAATTAAGTTTCCTAAGGACTTAGATTCCTGTCTTATAAATCTCCTGGCTGAGAGTCTTCACAAAGAAAATATCAGAATTTGGAGTGATAGGGCACGGGTTTGAATCACAGTGCTGCCATTTGCTGTTTGACCTTGGACAAGTCCCTTAGACTCTGAGCCTCAGTTTCTTCATACAGAAAATATAGGGCTGAAAGATCCCTTCCAGTTCTAACTCTATGATTTTCTATAGGTTGAAATAAATGAATTAGTGAATATACAAGTGGTTTATCCGGGTCACCTCTGCCAAGACACTGATCTCACTCACATATGGTGACAAGGCTATTCCTTTCTCCCACCTACACACTTCCCAACACTAACTCCTATCCAAGTAGAGGACCTTTAGGAGAAGCCCGGACCCTTTTCACCTTTCTACAAGCAAAGTAAAGTAAAGCAGCCTCCCGGATCACCAAAGTCCTCCCTTGCCCTCTTACAACCGGTTTGAGTCTCCATCCCTTAGGTAACAGCAAAACCAGACAGGTTGAGACAGAGAAGCATCAAGCCCCAGGGAGTCTCTGACCCACCAGTGGCCCCATCCCTTCATCCCGGCACAGCCATAGGCTAAGAGGGGAGGTGGGACCAGGCAGGCTTAGTCTTGGACATTTCGGATAAAAAGAGGAGCCGCAGGATCCAGGACAAAGCAATTTCCCTCCCGGACCCTCAAGTTTGCTTAGAGGTCCGGCTCTCCCCAGGTCCCGCCGCTGCTGAGAAGCTCAGGTGAGGGTGGGCGACCTGCAGCTCCCAGGTCCGAGGGAGGGGCTCGGAAAGGGGCAAAGTCCTCAGGCTCTGGGGGACCCCCAAGATGGGAGGGAGAAAAAGAGGAGGGCGGAGCCCGGGCTTGGGAAGGGGGATGGTTGGGGAAGAGTTAGTTTCTGTTGCTGCTGGCAGTGCGGCTGAGTGGGCAGAGCTTGGCCAGCTGTGAGTGTGTGTGTGTGTGTGTGTGTGTGGTGGGTGGGTGGGTGTGGGTGTTGGGTTCTACCTGAATGGGGCATGGAGGATGGTAGACTTTAAGGGCGTTGTAACCTTTCCCGGAGTCACCATAAAACCAGGACAAATTAATACCATCTACTTCCCAGGAAGATCATTAGGAAGCTCAAATTGGAGAGCATCTGTAGAGCCCACTGTAAACCTTAAAAAGTATTAAAGGAATGGTTGCCTTTTTTAAATTACCATTACTATTACGGAAGCGCAGGGAGCTGAGTGCGCAGCTTATGGAGGCTGGGGTGTGTTTTTGGCCCGCATTTAATGGGAGAGGAGATGATAAGAAGGAGGGGGCGTTGAGGAGGGTCATCTTTTGATGGATTTGGGGATGAGAAGGGGCCCACCCTAGGTTGGCCTGTGACTTCCTTCCTGGATCTGATCTGCAACTGTTCTCCCTCCCTTTCCTGGTTTATTTATCCCGGGTGACCTGGAGTAGTTCTGGATTTCCTCTGGCTGCAAATTCTACAGCTATCCCTGGGGTGGAGATGGGGGGCTTAGGAAAATGTAAATGCACTGGCTTGTGTCTGTGTGTACCCCTCTGCTCCAGAGGAGGAGGAAAACAGCTCCTCTCAGGGCCTGCTTAAAAGGCCCCTTAAGATGCTCTGCAAACTCTCCCATCCCCCAGCAGGTGCCCCAGGGATGGGGATAGTGCCAGGAGGGGTGGCTCCTGGCCTCCAGGTGAGTCCATTCCCCCTGGCTGGTGGTGTTGGGGTTCCTGGCTCACTTGGGTGCCTCCGCTTGAACTCCTTTCCGGCTTGGAGGCGTGGACCTTGTTAGGAGAGAGGCAGGCAAGAAATTGTTTCAGAGGCAGGAAGTTTAGATGCCCAGAGTTTGTTTGACCCACTTCCCTATCCTTGTACTTGTAAAAGATAGATTTTGGCTTGCAGGGCCTTTAGATCTAAGGCCTATAGAATCTGAAAATCTGGAGATGGCTATGTTACTCTTCTGTAGAAAAGGCAGAAAAGGCTTTCCTCCTCTCCACTCCATCCATCAGCAGCTGACTGTATAACCTTACCTTTAGACTCTATGGGATCATAGATTTAAAGCTGGAAGGTGCCATAAAACTGAGGCACTGAGGTGAAGTGGCATGCCTATGTACGCCCATGTGGTAGTAACTGACAAGATCAGGATTGACCCCAGTCACTCTGATGTCAAATCCAGTTCTATTCCAGGCTAGTATGTTGCTTGGTTATGCTCCTGAGAAATGAGGTCGTTCTGAGTTCTGGAGAAGGTGCATTTGGTGATTTGGTTTAGAGAGAAGCTTCAAAATGTGGTAGTGGCTTTAAGGAAAACATTTATTTAGTACCTGTTGTGTGCCAGGCATTGTGCACTGGGGTTATAAAGAGTCAAAAGGCAGCCCCTGCCCTGAATAAAGCAGTAATCTGCAGACTTTTGCTAGGACACACACACCTCCCATTAGGAAAAAAAATTTATGAGCACTCCCCAATATATATGTACATTCACTTCTATAAATTTTATGTGTACTCCTGTGCTAATAAACACAAATATAGGTTTTTTAAGATATGAGATAAGAATGAAATAATATGAGCCTAGGGACAATAGAAACCCTGGAGTATACTGGACATAAGAGCAAAATGGTCACTTTAGAATGGTTTTGGCTGCTGTGTGAGGATAGGATGGAATGGAGGAAGACCTGGGGAGGGAGATGAGTTGGAATGATATTGCAAAAGTCCACTGGAGAGGTGATTAGGGTTCTTGGGAAGACCAAAGAGAGAGATGCTTTGGCAATTGGTTGGATGGAAGGCTGATGTGTTCTTGACAATAATAGCTAACATGGTTTGGAAAAGGGATGGGTTGGAGGAGGAAGATAATGTAATAAAATGTGCTTATCCTAAACACCCTTACCTCCTTCTGTGGGACTTACAGGAAGAGAGATAGAGTCTTTTACTAGTCACTGCTGCCACTACAACTCCCTCCCTTCCTCATTTTCCCAAATGATGCTGCTTGGTATTAGTTTCATCACAGCTGCCTTTAGTTAGGGGAGGTTGGGAACATGAGAGAGAAGGTTGAGCAGAAGATTATTAGTGTAGTTGTATTAGAGACAAGCCTTGTAGGTTGACAGTCAGAGAGTGGGATGTGGACTAACCTCAAGTTAACAATAATGATAATAATAAAAAAAAAATACCTAATGCTTTAAGGTTTCCAATACCCTTTGCAAATATTATCTCATTTTATCCTCACATCAACCCTGTGAGGTAGGTGCTGTTATTATCCCCATTTTACATATAAAGAAACTGAGGCTAAGAGTGGTTAAGTGATTTACCCATAGCCTCACAGCTACTACTAAGTGTCTGAGTCAGGATTTGAGCTCAGGTCTTCCTGAACCCTAGGTCCAGCACTCTATCCACCATGCCACCTGCCTCTAACCCATTGTGGACAGACCTTAACTTCCATTTTGGGAACCACTGCCATAAAACTTAGGGGCACATTTCAGCTTTTAAAAACAGTTACTGCTTTTGAACTGGGTATCCATTTTTTATCATTTGTGCTATTAATGTTGGCACTTAATGAAGCATTGTCTCTGGTGTTAATGTTTTTGTGTCAATATCTAAACTCCCTGAAGAACTTTAGATCAGCATTACATCTCATATCTACCCTTACTCCATCCCATCCAACATACAATACTGAGCAAATAGCTAGATATTGCATGAATATTTGCTGAGATTAGTTTTGTTTTTCCACTGGAAAGATTGTGTTTATTTCCCAAAGCAACAAGAGCTTGGATTTTTGGTTTGGCTTGATTTTTTAATCACACACGTTTTCTGAATATGCCTTCCTTTTTTCCTCTTAAGGTTTGAAATATGAATTTATATGTGTGTTTAACTTGCCTATGCTTGGGGGATAGTAGCTGCTGCTCCACAACTTGACTGGACTTTAGAGGCTAAATGGCATCAGTGGAAGTCACAACATAGAAGGGGCTATGGAGCGGTAAGCTTTGAGCTACTCTTTCCCCAACTATGTTGAATACAACATGTCCAAGGTAGCCTAATGAAATGGCCTTTACACAAAAGCCAAAGATTATCCAGATAAGAGCTTCACTTGCTCAAGACTGTTGCTTTTCCCACAGAAGTTCAGAGAGTCAGGCTGTCTCCAGCATCAGAACTTGGAAACCCTTCTGGGGCAGCAACATTTGGATGTGGTCACCATCCCAACTGGATGCTAACCAAGTGATTGAGAGTGGATTTGGTCTGAGGATAGTTTCACTTGCATGTATAATGATATAAGCAGAAGCTTATTGAAACTTACATTTTTGTACTTGCTTCCAGACTGAAGATCAGTGGAGGAGAGCAATGTGGGAGAAGAATTTGAGAATGATTGAATTGCACAATCAAGAGTACAACACTGGCAAACATAGTTTCCAGATGGAAATGAACAAGTTTGGCGATATGGTGGTTGTGTTGTAACAATCTGATGTGAATAGTGAATAGCCAACTATCTTTTGCTCCCAACACACTTCATATAAATTCTCTTTCTCTTCATTTTAGACCAATGAGGAATTCAGACAAGTGATGAATGGCTTTAGACAAAACACATTTCAAAAGAAGTACAAACGAACTCTGTTTCATGAACCTCACTTTGTGCAGATCCCTGAATCTGTAGACTGGAGAGACAAGGGCTATGTAACTCCTGTTAAGAATCAGGTATGAAAAGTTGCTTAAGTTTGATCCCCAGATAAGCCAGATGAAACTCGGTGAAACTTATGATTGATAGTCTCTTAAATAATGGGACTCCATCTCAGATCTGTGACTGAGCTCCCTTTCATATTTAAAACTATTTAGATTTGTCTGAAAAAGATGAGTAAAATGATCTTGTACACTAACCAGTGCTTCCTTTGGACTTTTGCAGGGTCGATGTGGTTCTTGCTGGGCATTTGGTGCAACTGGTTCCCTGGAAGGCCAATGGTTCCGTAAAACAGGCAAACTTGTTTCACTTAGTGAACAGAATTTGATTGACTGCTCTAGGAATGATGGCAACCGAGGCTGTAATGGTGGTTTAGTAGATAATGCCTTTGAATATGTGAAGAAAAATGGAGGCATTGATACAGAGGAATCATATCCCTATGCAGCAATGGTAAATATAGTTATTGGATTCCCCATCATTTTGGTTTAACTATATTTGAAAGGAGAGTCTCAGTTTGGGCATGGGAGCTGAGGAAGCCTGCAAAGACTGAAGACCTAAATAACCACATGCCTAACTAAGGAAAATCTGTAACTGAATCCAAAACATATCAACACCAAAAATTAGTTGCCTTCACTATGAATACAATCACTTATTGAGAGGAGATCTTGGGAAGTATATAGACTGTTGTCTAAGAGATCATTTGATCAGACATGTTCATTTTACAATGACTTGCTCAAGATCACAAACATAGTAATAAGGGGCAAAGTCTGGATTGGAAGCCAGATTCCCTGAACCTAAATCTATTCTTGCCTTTGTAGCCTACCCTTGTGCCTCCCTGACACCTAGCTCCCACAAGTGCCTCCTTAGAAGCAGGGAATTAAATAACAATTGAGTAATTTTGCACAATAACTGCTGACATTTATCTCCTCCTTAAGGTTTACAAACATGTCATTCACTTAAGCTCTTTTGATCCTCAAACAGCCCTGTCAGGGGAAGGTATTATGCTGAACTTCAGTCTTATGATGGCATAGTTTGTAAGGCGAGAGCTAGATTGGAACCTTGGTCTCACTGGGCTATGTCACAACTAGGAGGCTCTTAGAGTTGCTAAAATAATTGGGTTTTTTATGACAGTGGTATCAAACTCAAGTAGAAATGGGCCACTGAACCATACCTTAGAATCCATGTGCAATGCATATTGACTTAGCAGTGGTGTGTAGGAATGTTACGAGCCCTCTGTTTTATACTAAGCTGCCCTCTTTCAATGGGACTTTCAAATAGTCCTTTATCCATCCACCTCCAGCTCTCTTCTTGAGCTGTTCATCTAATAAGTTGATGGGAGAATATGGCCCATAGATTTATTAATTTCATGACCATCAATTTTAAATTCATCTGGGCAATACCACTGATAATAGGAGACCCAAACCTTTTATCTGTTTCATTTTAAAAGAATGGCTACTGTAGGTATCAGCCAGAAAACTCTGGTGCTAATGTCACTGGATATGTGGACATCCCATCTGGGCAAGAAATGGAACTAGCAGAGGCTGTGGCCACAGTGGGTCCCATCTCTGTTGCTGTTGATGCAGGACATGCATCCTTCCAATTCTATCGATCTGGTAAGCATTTGTTCCTCATTATTTCTGTAACAATGCACTTAACTGTATTACGGCCATTCACTAGCCAGTATTTCTCAAGTTCATGTTTCACTTGACTATCCTAGGTGTTTATTATGACCCACTCTGCAGTAGTGAACAGCTAGATCATGTCATGCTGCTTGTGGGCTATGGTGATGATGAAGATACTGGAAAGAAATACTGGATTGTCAAGAACAGGTAAACCGAGGTCTTGCCTGAAATGTCATTGACCTGCTTGTTGCCAGTTTCTGGTTTTGGGGTTTTTTTTTCATTTTGAAGAAAGGAGGGGGAGGAGGAAGAAGGGTGGAGTTCCTGGGATCTTGTGAAATGGAGAAGGGATGTTCATAGATGGAAGGGGCCCTGTTTTTAGGATCCAGAATAGATTGAGGGGCAGTTAGGTGGTGAGGTGGTGAGAGCACTATCCCTGGAGTCAAAAGAACCTGTGCTCAATTAGGACCTCATTTACTTCCTAGCTGTGTGACCTTGGGCAAGTCACTTAACCCTGTTTGCCTCAGTTTCTTCATCTGGGAAATAAGTCACAGAAGGAAAGGACAAACCGATCCTGTATCTTTGCCAAGAAAACCTAAAAATGGCATCATGAAGAGTCAGACACAACTAAGCAACTAAACAACAACAAAGTTAACACCAACAATTATTTTCATTGCTTTCTGAAAGCTCCGACTCATTTTCTGAATTCAGTCACAATGTGTGTCAGAAGGCTTTGCCCTCCTGAAGTAAAAGGCATTTTTGAATGGTGCTCTTGAACTTAATATTTAACTCTCTTTTCAGCTGGGGTGACCAGTGGGGAGACAATGGGTACATTTTAATGGCCAGGGAAGAGAGTAACCACTGTGGAATAGCGACAGCTGCCAGCTATCCTGAAGTATGATGTGACTGAAGGAGCTTTACAGAGAGAGAGGATCTCACCTGTATCATATGGGATCAAACACTTGAATCACCCAAGATCCTAGTTGTAACTTGAGTTTCTTCTGACATGTTTACATTTGTAAAATGTAAAAATTACTTTGTTAAAAACCAACTTGTAATATTGCTTAATGCAAAGACACAAATTTCTATTTTGAAATTGCAATGATGGGCATTACTTTTGTAAATAAACCTTGATTTACTCTGTATGAACTTTGGGAGAGCAGATTTCCTTCAAAGTGCTCAGTTTTGTAGCAAGAGAGAAGAGAGTTAGGTTTCTAGTTTTTTTGTCCTAGGATGAGGAATCAATTAGTGGCTACAGATGGTTTCTGGGATTGAATCCAATGTTTTGTACCCTGCCTCATTAAAATACACTGATTGAAGTGTAAATCAATAGTTCTGGGTGTGGCTTTGACATTACTTCAGTCCCTTCAAAAGCAAAATTTTATGCCAATTTTCAGGAGCCATTCATAATCAATGTACAATTTTGTTCTCTGACTCTCAATCTGTTTTCTGATCCAAATGGAGAAATAGATGTATGGGCCTAAAGTGACATAGAACTGACATGAGCCATCTTTAAGTTCAAAGAGTTTTTCAAGGTGACCTAACTGTAATATCATAATGAAAGCTGCTATTAAACTTGATTTTTTACATCTTTTCTATCAGCAACTTAAAATCTTTGAGTAAAATGATCATTTTAATTTTAGAGTTGGAATGAATCTTAGATGGCCACATGGTTCACATTTATCTAGTACTTTAAAATGTTGTCAAAGTCCTTTGTATATAATACATAAATTTATTTATTTATTTTTGGTTTTCAACATTTACTTCCACAAGATTTTGAGTTCCAAATTTTCACCCCATCTCACCCCTCCCCGCACCTCAAGATGGCGTGCATTCTGAATATCCCTTCCCCTAGTCTGCCCCTCTTCTATCTCTCCCCCCCTTTTCTTATCCCCTCCCCCTTCTTTTATATAATACATTCAGTTAATCAATAAACATTAAGTGTCTACTATATGCCAGGCTAAGTGATGGGGATATAAATGAGAAAAAAAAACAAGCCCTGCTTTCAAGGAGCTTACAATCTTAATCAGGGAAGACAAGACAAAAATAAGGTGAAAAGAGGGTGGGAAGGGTTCCAGGGAAGGTACTGGATTTAGGAGCATGGCAGAAAAGTCAGAAGCCCCAAAGTAGAGCACACAGGTGACAAATGAGGACAGAAGGTTAACTCTTTTGATCCTTACCACCATGTGAGCAGCATTTATGTAGTGGAGTAGATAGAGTGGTGGGCCTGGAGTCAGGACTTGAATTCTAATCCAGCCTTAGCTGTGTGACCCTAGGCAAGTCACTTAACCCTGCTTGCCTCAGTTCCTCATCTGTAAATTGAGCTGGAGAAGGAAACAGCAAACCACTCCAGTACTTTTGCTAAAAAAAAAAAAAACCCTAAGTAGGGTCATGGAGAGTAGGGCTGAACTGAAATGGCTCAACAAACACCTTGTGAGGTAGGTGCTATTATCCCCATTTTACAGAGTGAAGCTGAGGCCAAGAGAGGTTAAGTAAATGACTTGACTAGGCTCACCTCCCTAATAAAGTATCCATTGTAGGATTTGAACTTGGGTCCTCTCCACTTTAGGCCCAACAGCCCATCACTAAGAAATAGTGGTTAGTGGGATCAAAAGCATTCTGCCATAAAGAGGGGAAGAGCACACAAAGCAACATCAATTTGAGTGCTCAAATAGTCCTTAGGAATGATCAGCTCAGTTCTATTTGTCGTACAGATGAGGAATCTCATTAGACTCGTTAGAGCCACTGCACAAATGACTTGTCTGATAGGACAGGCTTTGGTTGACAGATGGTTGGTGGTGGGCTTTGTCCCTCTTTCTTGAAGAGAACCAAAATGACATCACTATACTACAGTCAACTTTCAGTGTGTCTAACTGTGGCTGATCAGACCAGTGCTAGCTGGGAATGCTCTACACAGGTTGGGCACAAATAGCCCATGTGAACATTTGGGGTGGATTCTCTAAACTTGGGAATCCTGTGTGTCCTTTGAGCTATTTGAATTTTGTTTTGCTCATAGAGCACCACACCTTCTCTGCTGTGGGCACACCATGCTGAACAGTGCTGTGCCAGTATCTCCCATGTCACACAATCAACTCCAGACTTCTTAAGAAAGACCTTGAGAGTGTCCTTGTATGGATTCTTCTGACCACTAGGTGAATGCTTGCCCTGTGTGAGTTTTCCATAAAATAGTCTTTTTGGCAAGCATACATTTTGCGTTAGAACAACATGGCCAGCATGTTGCTCTCTATTGCAGAGTCTGAGAGCTTGGCAGTTTAGTCGAAGAAAGAACTTCAGTGTCTGGTATCTTATCCTGCCAGGTGACCTTCAGAATCTTCCTAAGACAATTCAAATGGGAGTAATTCAGTTTTCTGATATAGTGCTGATATGCTGTCCAGGTTTCACAGGCATACAACAATGAGGTCAGCACAACAGCTCTGTAGTCCTTCAGTTAGGTTGTCAATCTACTACCTCTTCTCTTCCATACTTTCCTTTGGCGCCTCCCAAACAGTGAGCCAGCTCTGGCAATGCCTACTTCAACCTCATTATTGATGTGTACATCGCTGGAAACTATACTCCCAAGGTAAGTGAACTTATCCACAGCATTCATAACTTCTCCATTTGCTGTAACCAATGGTTCCACATATGGATGGTGTGGTGGTGGCTGATGGAGCACCTGGGTTTTCTTGGTGTTAGTTCTCAGCCCAAAATCAGCACAAGCAGCAGAGAATCGATCCATACTTTGTTGCATTTCAGCTTCAGAGGCTACATTGAGTGCACAATCATTTGCAAACAGAATCATGCACCAACACTCCCTCCACTTTGGCCTTGGCTTGTAGCCTTTTCAACATGAAGAAGTAACCATCAGCGTTGGTAGCTGACTTTGATGCTGTGTTCATCCTCATTGAAAGCATTTGACAACATCACTGAAAACATCATGCATGGGAGTGAGCATACAGCTTTGTTTCACTCCACTGGTGACCAGGAAAGCATGAAAGCATTGCCCATTAATCAAAACCCAGGCAAGCATGTTGTCATGAAATTGACGTAAAATGTTGATGAACTCTGGGCAAACAAATTTTGACATAATTTTCCATAAGTCCTCATGACTGACACTATCAAAGGCCTTGGTCATATCTATAAATCTGGTATACAGGACTCTGTTCTGTTCCCTGGCATTTCTCCTGGAGTTGTCCAGCAGCAAACACCCTATGGACCATTCCTTGGCCTTTTCTGAAGCCACACTGGCTCTTAGGTAGATGACCAACTTCCAGGTGAAAGATTAGCCTATTAAGGAGGACTCTAGCAAGAATCTTGCCAACAATGACTAAGAGAAAGACCTCCCTTGTGATAGTCACGGGACAATCTACTTCCTTTACCTGTATAGAGATGCACAATGGCAGCATCCTTAAACTCCTGGGGAATAACCTCCTCTTGCCATATAACCTGGAAAATTTCAGTCAGTTTTTGTATGAGCAATGGACCACCCCCCACCTTGTAAATCTCAGCTGAATAGAAACAGCACCAGGTGCTTTGCTACAAAAAGGAGCCTAAAGGCATTCAAAGCCTCTTCTTCAGTTGGAACTTCAGCTAGGGAGGGATTGACTTCAACCTGAGGTAATAACAGTCAATGGCTTAAGCATTGATTGATGATGGTCTGTTGAGAACACCATGAAAAGTGTTCAGCCCATCTCTCTAGGATCATTCCCTTATTGCCAATCAATGCAACTTCATAGTACTGAGTAGTTGAGATGTACCATAAATCTTTGGCCCATAAATAGCCTTCAAGGCATCATAAAATTGTTTTGGATTGTTATTATCAGCAGAAAACTGAATTTCATCTGCCTTCTTACTGAGCCAAAGAATCCTGCATTTCTCTAAGCTTTGTGCTTGTACTTTACTTTTGATGGAATTAAAATGCTGCCTTCGTAGAGATGGATGAACTATCCTGCTGGTAAACCCTGTGGAGTTCTTTTTCATTTAGTAGCTTCTGGATTTCCCCATCATTTTCATCAAAGCAGTCTTGATGATTGTAAGTGTTCTGACCCAGATGAGAAAATCCAGTGCTGTATAGGAAATCTCTGAAAGCTGTCCACTCCTTTTCTGTTCCACTGTTGCCAACTGTGTGTTGGCTCAACTTTCCCTCCAAGTTAACAGCAAACTGTTCCTGTTCAGAGAAGAGCTCTAATCTGCTGACATTAATTCTTCTGGTAGTGATTTTGCCTTGGGGCCTCTGCTTTTGTTCAATGTGAATATTAAGCTGGGAGAGGATACACCTATGATCAGTTCAGCACTCTGTACCACACATTGCCTTTGTCACATCCTTTCACTTCTCCTTATAATCACTGTTCTATTAAATGCCAATGTTTGCTGTGAGGGTTCATCAAGAAGTTTTATTGCATTTAGGTAAACGGAAGACAGTGTTGGTAATGAGAAGGTCATGAGATGCACAAGTCTTCAGTAATAAGTGAACATTGCTGTTTCTGTTTCCAACCGTTCCTCCCTAGGGCTTCCTGCCGAGTCTGGTAGTCTGAGCCTACTCTAGCATTAAAGTCTCCCAGAATTATGAGCTTGTCCTCTTTTGGCACATTGATGATAACGGTCTCCAGGTCTTCATAAAATTTTTCTTCGACCTCATCAGGGTTCACCATGGTGAGAGTGTAGGCCTGATGATGGTGGTGACGTTTTCCTGCAAGTGCCAAGTGCATTGTCATGAGTGTGTCATTCACTACTCTTGGTAGGCACATAAGCTTCTTGACTAGATTAGTTTTGATTGCAAAACCTACTCCAGCTTCACAGCACTCCCCTTCACTGTGGCCACTCCAGGAATGTGTATCCAGCTCCAACTTCCATAAGCTGGCCTTCATTTGCCAACCTTGTTTCACTCAGGGCTGCTATTTGGAT